CCTTCAGTCAGGTTTATCATCGCCTGTGGCGTCCCAAATGGGACGAGTCGAATGACATTTCGCGTTGTCCGGCTAGAAACTTTCAGCGTCTATCCTATCGGAATCTCCGCACTTAATTCGGTAGCAAATCTCAACGTCTTCTCGAGGTTTTTAGGAGTGTGTTTTCTTAAACAGGCATTTTCACATCAGTTCCGGTCTTTTATTAGATCCCAAAATTTCATGCTGTTGCGGCATCTTCCAATTGGCTTATATAATTGAGGTATGTATGGCAGGGTTACCGTAGGTCTGTTTTGACAAGACTTTGGGAGTTCTAGTGCAGCAGATCTCTGTCGAGTGTATTCCTTGACATAGTCTTCTAGAACCTGCGACGCAGGTGTCGAATTTCTTAGTCTGGGGCTGAAGTATCATTGCACGTTTCCTGTGCTAGTAAATTGCTAGTAAACGCATGTTCTTCACTACATTGCTGAAAAGCAGCACGACACTTCGGGTATCCATTGACAGTTACTAGGTTTCTGATAAATGGAAACCTAAAATCATGCGTTGATGCTCTCTTGACTAGCACATTTGCATTCTTATCATCTGATTCGCCTTGGCATCTCATTGGATTTAATGCAATCATATGATTTGCAAAGCATTTCACCAGTTACTTTGTACTGAGAAATCTTTAAAAACTGATGTTTGGCGCAAGTAATTAGTCACCCGAGTTTTTCGCCTGTCATGTTAAGTTGCGGCCATTGTACTTATTCCTACAACAGTAATTTGATTCACTTCCTTGATTAAGATGCCTGGGGGCCACCAAACCAGCCTCGGATTTAGTGGTACGCTGCCGCTTTTACAATATAGACCCGAATGTTTGACTGCGAAATGATGGAAGCAACTTTAGTTCTTGCATGAAGACTGTCAATTCAAGAACTGACGCCCCTCATAACTCCCCGGTCTTCCTTCATAGAGGCAAGAGATGCCGTTTCAGCTCTTTCGGGTGTTTGAAAATCATCTTTTACGAATCGTTCTTGGCTGAAAGGGTAATCATTCTTTCCTGCTTTTGCTTCCATCAAGATGCATGCAGTTTGTCAGCTTTATTCACGGATATTTGCTGCTGACGAATATCTAGTGACGTACTTCCCTGAATAGCCAGACCACATGTACTATCTCCTTCATTCTTCTGCCAGTAAACTGGCTGACTCCAAGAAGTCGCTCAGAGCCTTCGTCATCATAGCGCGTAATATGGCTAGAATAATAATTGCAGATCTTTGCTTCACACAGTATTAGCTTTGATGTTCATGTTCTGGTTATCTACGTGCCGCTGTTTCATGTTAGCCAGGTCCGCGTAACATCTTTGCTTGAAAAGAAGTACTGCTGTGATTAACGTCCGCAGAGGTTGACAAGAGAGCGTAATTGCTATCACCTGAATTTCTCTTTGTAAAGTATATCTGAACAGTTTTCGACAGCTTTAATGAATAACAATTAGCAATTTCCACTGCTTTCCAAAAGCTCTATACTTTAACGATTTTTCATTTCTGCCCGGACGAAATCATACGAATATTCATCACGTTATCTGTCAAAGCAGTAATTATGATACGTCTTGATATAACTTGATGTTATCTAACACTGCAACATTAACCTAACAATGGATCTGTAATATTAACCTAACAGTGTAGCTATTTCCCACCTGATAAGTTACACGTTACACTGGTTTTACAAAAATTACAGTATCATTCACTCGCATCCCAAGCTTGGTTTAGTTTAACTAAAATTGAATTGCCCTTATTTCACTCTAATTTTTATGTCTTTTATGTGCGGAACGAGTGCACAAAGGTGCGGAATAAAGCGAGGGCAGAGCACCGCGTATGGTACTTCATTGACCGCGGATACCTGTCATGAACTGTGCAGTTATTGACTAGCGAAGCAGTGACAACTTACGCTGATAAATTTTTTTGTTATTACGACAAATCAGTCTAGCAAGAGGATTCTCCCACTACCAACTTGAATGAAAGAACTGGTAGCGAATATCAGCACTCAGGTAAATAGCTAAAACGTGCCGCCTACTATCTGAAGAGGAGGTAGCAACTGGACACAAAGAAAGGAAGATCAGGAAAATGCCTGATGGATGAATATTGGAAAATTATAGATGGTAACAATGCTATTCTTCTGGTCGTTTAGATAGAGAAATTTTAAAGACTCCAACGAAATAGTGGTAGTGTGGATTTCTATATTAGTGTGGTAGTGTCCTTGAACGAACGTTCGCGTTTTTCCATTTCGTTGTTTTACAGTAATTCAACAGTCAGGTGAAATGAGGCTCATTGCAGTCGCAAATGTGCCATTGGTCTAAACTCTCAAGAGTACGCAATATAGGTACGGTAAAGCTAAAGTTCCTTGTTAATCGTTGAACAATGACAGCTGCTTTCGTACTAATTGCTGACCGCAGCAAAACTATAAAATTTGAGAAGCTATAGCTTCTTAATCAGGTATTGACTACGACCCATTCGACCTATTACAATTTGAACGTACCCTAATTTGGATTAGCCTCGCTGGTGAGATTTTGAAAGTGTTTCACATCGTACAGAGTCGGGCTGTGACGACGCTGTCTGACGACGGACGAAACTGGTTTACGAAAGTGCGCGCTGATCAGTCACTTTGACTCATAGGCCCAGCCTAAAATAGCGTAATTGGGCTCGGTATCGTTCTCTTCTACGGCTACGACCAGGCGATGACCATGTTCGGAGAGCGTTGAGCATTTTGCTGAGTTACTTCTATTGGTCGTTGTTACCCCAAGTTTTGTGAGCGAATAGTTGCCTTTCAGCACATGTCACGTGAATTCTCTGCACGCACGCATCGCTGTTTATTTACACAGCAATCCAAACGCAAGTACTGCCTATTGATCTAAACCTTACGTTGCTGCATTCTCTGTGCCCTTTGAGGACACTGATGCAATGGGACGAGGAACAGAGGAGAGCCAAGCGGTCACACTCACCGATCATTCATGGGTTAGTCAAGTCAAGCGCCCACTACCGTTGACCGATGATGGCCGTCGTACGGCTTCAGTCAATAGGCGAGGCATGACTCGTGAAGGGCCGGAACTGGAGTCTGTGACGCCATGCCCAAGCACGTTTTTCGGTTAAGCTCTCCACTCTTGCATTTGCTCGTTAGATAACCATGACGCGCGCCTCCTGGGCACTAGTGAGCCTGTCACTGACAATGTTCAAGAGCTTGAACACAGCTCAGGTGTCCCTGATGGGCAAACGATGCATTAGTGGTGTGCAATGCGATGAACGCTGTGCTAAGTCTGAACTCGGCGCGAATTCCAAAAATCAATGGGTGCTCGCGAGGAAGCAAGACCGGTGTCAGAGCGAAAGAAGGAAAATCGAACGGACACGATTTGCTTGTAGGTCATTTACGTTAGCATCTACCGTACACCGTGTCATAAGCAGTTTCCTGTTCGTTCAACAATCTTGTTCGAAGACTCGTACAGTAACGAGGGTTGGTTCAGATCGTAGAGTAACTTACGCACTTAAGTGGAGTGTGTCCACCGGTTTGTTATAAATACGTTTTCCGATGGTGGCTTAGGCGAATTTTACCTCGCGCACTTCCGCCGGCACCGTGTTTATCCATCCCTCTTTACTCGTGGACCGGTGAACTATGCTTAAACACCAGTACTTAAGTGGATCCTATTCTTGGTGCCCAGATGACTTCGGTCCATTTCTGATGCTGTTCGTTTGTCCTAGTGCATTGATGCTTAATTGCCGATTTTGTGCACTGGACACGCACACGGTTGTGACGATGTGCGAAAGAGATATATGGGTCTACTGATCGACTGACAAACAGTGGCCACTAACAGCTAACTTCAGCTCCCAACGAAATACAGCGTCTGGTCTCAGTTATCGCCGCGTGGTAGTATATTTACGGTGACTAGCTGCTGTGCGTGCATGCGAGTCAACAAAAAGTGCAGTTATGCTAATAGGATGTTGTCGATGTACTGATATTCAACTCGTTGGCAGTGTCGATCATCTTTCCGAAGAATTCACAGGCGCAAGGGGAGGCTACGACGGATGGTCTACTTTCTCCTCCGCGTATGAAATCATATCCGTCTCTTAGAGCCGCCTAGGTTCGAAAAGCCACGCGCAGCCGTTGGTTTGACCGTCGCGCTGTTTCAGTAAGAAGTCCAGCGACAAACAGTGGACACACTCACGATTACAGTACACCCGTCGTCTTCGTCGTCGTCACGTGTTTGTGCTGGTTCACTACCTCGTTCGAGTAACGACGAGCGCGGCGCCGCGTCGGCTCGGCCACCTCCGCCAGGTGTCGCCACGGTCAGTCAATAACGTCGACGGACTGCTGGCCGTTGCAGTCTCGTTTCTTTCGACTGTGTGTTAATACTGAGTAGCACGTTATGATTACAAACGACAGAATACGCTCGTGAGCGAGCGCGTTCGAGCGCACATTCGTTCGTAGCACACAGTTTCCAAAAGACGTCCTAAACGAACGAATGAACGACCGAACGGACGGACGAACGAACGACCGATCGACCGAACAAACGAACGAACGAATGAACGACCGACCGAACGAATGAACGAACGAACGACCAAACGACCGATCGACCGACCGACCGACAGAACGAACGAATGAGCGAGCGAACGAACGAACGAACAAACGAGCGAACGAACGAACGAACGAGCGAACGAACGAACGAACGAACGAACGAACGAACGAACGAACGAACGAACGAACGAACGAACGAACGAACGACCGATCGACCGAACGAACGAACGAACGAACGAACAACCGAATGAACGAGCGAGCGAACGACCGACCGGCCGAGCGAACGAACGAACGAACGAGCGAACGAACGAACGAACGAGCGAACGAACGAACGACCGACCGAACGAATGAACGACCGACCGACCGAACGAACGAACGAACAACCGAACGAACGACCGACCGAACGAACGACCGAACGAACGACCGAACGAACGAGCGAGCGAACGAGCGAACGAACGAACGAACGACCGACCGACCGACCGACCGAACGAACGAACGAACGAGCGAACAAGCGAACGACCGAACTAACGAACGACCGAACGAGTGAACGACCGAACGAACGGTGTCGCACAGCCTTCTTCGCAAGCTGATTGAAGAAGCTTAGACGACGTGGTCGTCGTCAACATTTGTCGTTGGGGGGGTGTCGTGGTCAAACATCTGTTCATCTGTCTGCGTCCTCCCTTCGGTTGTTGTCCCCCGTAATTGCCGTCGCTCTCTCGCTGGTGGTATACGTTTCAGTGTGACGTGGCTAGGAGATGTTAATGTTTCTTCGTTGCGCTGTGGCTGCTTGCGTGTTCACTCTAGTTCGTCGTGCTAGACTTCGCGTTACGTCCTTACTCGCTAGATGGCGCTGCATTTGCTTTGATTGGATGACCAATCGATATATCGACTTGCTGATTTGGGCCGGCCTGCCGGCTGGTTGGATCAACGCGGCGCGGCGCGGCGCGACGCGGCGGCGGCGGCGACATTGCTACGAGGATCGTGTTGTACACGCGATGTTAATACTTACTGCGCGCCACCGTTAGTGTTTCGCTGTCCGTGAGCGTACTCTGCGTGAGTACATGTGAACGCAACTAGACGCGGCGGCCACCGCGTGTTTTGGTAATGGTTTTACGTGTCGTTGTTGTAATTGTAATGTTACGCGCGACGGTGGCGAATAATATCTGTGCATTAGTAGCGTCATCGTTAGCGACTAAAGCTCCACCTGTCGGTAGTTTGGCAGCATCAACTCCAATGAAAATGCCACGGTGCAGTCAGTTAATTTGGTGAGGTTAAGTGGGGACTTGTTTGAAGCATTCGTTCGATGGCCAACGCGGCGGTGGCCGTCCTACGTCACCTCTGCGACGACGATAGCCACGATAGCGTACTCGCCGTAAAGCTGTACCGTTTACTACCGCTGTTGTTGTCATGACGATTTAACAGCCCGGTTTCGCCGCTGCCGCTGCACCGCCGCAAACAGCGGACCGGTATTGGCAGACGGTGGCGCTCGACAATCGAATACGGTAGCAGGAAGCGTGCTTACGTCGACGCATCATACGATGCCCTCCAAGCGTGCAAATACATGCGCTCGAGAACGAGAATGAATGAAGGAAGGAAGAATTGGTGGCTAGTGGCTGACTGACGACTGCTGCTGGCAGTCGTCGTCGATCCATCGCGTCGCGTCGCGTCCGTTGGTGTTTGTCCGCTTAACCGGACCGGTTCGACCAACGACGAACGATGGGGGAAACAAGCGTTGGCCGAACGCACGCCGTGTCGAACGATCGAACGTACCGCAGCATGTGGCGTCGTCGTTGCGTGCCGCGTTCGCCGCCACAGGCTTGTTATTATTACACACTAGGCAGTGGCGCCGCGCCGGACTGCACCATTCATCTCTGTCCTACTGTGGTAGCTGAAATCGTGACGGTCGGACGCACCGCCCGCCTGCCCGACCGACCGACCGATGAACCGCATCGATTGGCGGCGCGTTCGCACATCGTCGTATTTCAGGTGCGTGCTGCACGAAGCACAGTCGTGCGCGAGGTCCTGCCCCGTGCCGCGAAGAAGTTTGCACGCGCGAACGCGTCCGTATGAATTGATTCACGCAATGCATTTCTGTTGCTTTCACCGAAAGCGAGTTGTTATATCGTTGCCATATTTCGTGTCTTACTATCGACCGAAGTGCGGCCAAACAAACAAGACGCGAATACTGCGGTTTCTGACCGCTGTCTAATACTA